TACTGTTGCTTATTTTTACGCTTATGATGCATCTAATGTGACTTTTTTCCCCAATCAGCACTAGGCATAATTTCCTCCTCTAGCCTCCAATGATTTATTCCTGGCTATGAGACTGATATGATCAGTAAATAAATAATTTTTTCTAGTAAAGATTAGCAAAATAGAGTATAGAACAAATTACTAAGTAAAAAAAATATTGAAGTTGCTAGATATTTATATATAACTTCAATGAAAAATTAGCATCTTATAGATTAACATAATTTACTGGCTTATATTTGATTCCAAGGAGTTAAGTAACAGGCATATTTAACTTTAAAAGAAATATATGCCAAAGATTTAGTGTTTGAACAATTATCTTTAAACAAATAAAGTAAATATTTATTTATTTGAATGTGTTAAAGTTGAGAAAAGGATGATGATAAGCTGAATTAAATATAAAGCAAAAATATCAAACTTAAAGTAAGATAAATTGAAATTTATATAATAAAAATAAAGGGTTTATATTTCATATACTGGGTGAAATCTTTTGATGTGTCACTTTGACCATTCCTGGGAGTCTTTATACAGTTTCTGCTTTATTTAATGTTCCTTAATTGTAATTAAAGCATTTCTGAAATCAATAAACGATCATGTTGCCAACCATTTTAGCCATGTGCTATTGTTTACAGATAATTGTTTATTACACCATTTGTATAAAAGCAGTTATTCTTGTTAAAGACCTATTTTTCTGAATGATTTTGAATCTTACATGATGAATTGTTTGCTTTCGTGCTCGATAGTAAATTATAATTTATCTATGGATGATGATAATATATTCAGACATAGAAAGATGTGATTTTTATGATAATTTGGACAGTAAAGACGTGACATCACTTAGAATCTCCACTGCTTCATTTATCTTGAATATTTTTGTGTATGTTGTTTTATTGAGTATTATATTATGCTGTGTATGTATTTATTTACACCTTTTTTATTATCAATGTGTGGTTTACATATTTTGGAATAACTTAACTAAAAAAATATATTAAATATATTTTAATTCAAAATAGTTTTTTGTATTATAGTTTTGGTAAAATTATCTGACAAATTGACCTCTGTATTTTCTGAGATAAGTAGTTATATTTTAGTCTGTATTGTTTGTTCTATAACTTCTGTATGCAGTGTATTGTTCTCTAGTTTCTTTGTTTAACTTCCTCTTTCCCATGTTAGACTAATAAAATACAGGTTTTTTTGCCAGTTAGTCCATTGTAATATATAAAATATGGCAAAGAAAAATTGTTAGTCTATACATTACCATTACATATACATTACCATCTGTAATTGTACTCTGAGAATAGTACAATTCTAAATACTACTATGAAAGCTGCTGAAACATATATAAATAAAATTGTTTTTCAGCTATGCAATATATAATTTTAAAAAATATCACCCACATCAGTTAAATATAAACTGATATGTCTGTTGTTAATATTTGCTCTGTAATGTATATTCTTAGCTTCTAGCATGATTGAAATTTCCATAATTAAATCATAAAAATGTTAAAAATATGAATTAAATTATCCTTTATTTAATTAGAATTGACAAAAATTCTAATTTTTGTTTGTTTAAGTAAACTTTTTTTATTATGTATTTCTATCTGTAATTGTATAATTAAGACATAATTAGTTTCCGAAGACAAGTGTCACCCATGTACAATAATTACCAACCAATATCTGTTGTTTATTTTCATTAATAATCTATATGTTATTGCACCAAAGTTAAATATACAATTCAAATCTAAACATTGTTTAGTTATAGAAATACGGTTTTTTACTTCAAATGATACAGAACAAATAATTCTTTACTGTCTACTTAAAATGTTATTAATGCACTTTGTAAGTTACGAGTGTCTCTTCTCAGTGCACAAATTCTTGATATTGTAACGTATAACTTTAAACAGATGGCCGTAATCTAATTAAAATGAGGAAATTCATTTCCATTTTGATTTACATATTTATAATTTGATACTTTTGAATAAGATTTTCATTTCAAGCTGTACAAAGTTAGTGTGAAAACTTACTATTGTATAAAAGTTACGTGTAAAGATAGTCTTTAACTATTTTTAGTTAAAGGAAATAATATATGAATGTATTTTGATTGATTTTTTTTTTCATATCTTCTTGGGATGGATGCCAAAGATGCTCTGTGATAGATGATATATAACTAAAAGATTTTTTAATCCATTAATACATATACACATATATATAATATGTATGTATGTATGTATGTATTTTTCCTACTCACAAGTAATGTGAAAGTTTAATTTGATTCATTGGTTCGTGCCTTGTATGATAAGCATCACAAGAGAACCTGATTGAACTAAGCTATGTACAAAGGTCAACGACTCATACTGCAGATGGTATCTGATTCATTCACCTGGGGACTATATCTTTTGTGATTTGTTACAGTCGAATTTAAAGTATTTTGACACACAAAAATAGTTTGAATTAAATAAAAATGATTTTAAAAAATATCATTTCTGACAATCAGTTCATAAGTTTTTTACATTTCAATCTAAAGCAATATTTTCCACTTTAAGAGATAAATTAATTTTATGTTCTTACGTAACAAATTAAAGATAAAAAGTAAGCAGTCGCACATAAATGAGTCCGTGAAAAAAGCAGAGAGCTCGAAAGAATTAATTTTCTCATAAACTTAAAATTAACGTAGCACAAACACGACCGTTGCTAGGTTACATTTAATTAACCGCAAAAATTTCTTCTCGAATCTGAATGAATTGCCATTTTTATTTTTGTGACTGTACGATTTTAAAAGGACGTTACAAGATGTAAAAATTTCATTACGAATGACAAAGGAGAGTACAGAAATTTTTAAAGATTACAATAACTGTAATGAATTTAAAATGAGAAAAATGTCATACAGTAACTGCAATTTTTCTACTTTCTTAGAGTAATTATTTTAATTAAAATATTTATTCTCTCCTAAAATAACTTCCATTTATAAAAGTTTTCATACATTTTTGTGATTTTATATCAAAAAATAAATGTTTAAGATTACATTTTTTAAAAGCCAGATAATGTATTTTATTAATAAATAAACAATGAAATTTAACGGGTGAATAATTTTATGAAGTGTAGAAGTATAGTTATTAGTATTTACTACGATTGTGTTCAAGGACACTATTGCAATATAGAAATGAGTTTCGAATGTATATGTAGACAAAAACAGTCAGCAACTTTTGAACTTCCATTCAGTAATTCTTATATTATTCTATTACAAAACTAGATGTGCCAATTCAATAATATCGATATGGCCGTCTGTTCGGTAGTTATTGCGTTAGATTCTTTTGAATTTTTTAACTGTTTCGACGGTTGGATTTCCGGGTGAGTGTTTTATCTCTATTAAATAATAAACCATACTCTCTGTACTCGATATTTTGATACAATATATATACGACAAAAACAAGCAGAAACTTTCTGGAAATTCTGATAGATTCTGTCGATTTTGTTTTAAAAGCCCGAGCTTATTAAGTTATTTAATTTTGTAGCTTTTCTTTTAAGTTTATAATGTGAGTTTTTATCGGATAATTTTATTTTTAAGTTAGTGTTTTAGCGGCAGTCGCCGATTTATATTTTTAAATTGTTTGTTTCTCTTGGGAATAGATTATTGGATTATTGATCGCCGAACGTTTAGATAATTTCATCATTTCTTTTTATATCTTCTCCTTTATTTTATTTTTTCAAGATACATTTATTACAGTTTATATTAAAATAAGAATTTGTTTGCCTAATTTAATTTTATTGTACAAAATGAATTGCAGTTTTAATTCTTTTTGTGCGCACATTCATTTACATCTGACAGGTCTGTAGTCGGACGTATAAATAATGTTTTGCACTACAAATTGCTTCTGGGGTAGCACACTTTTATAGCAGATGTTTATTTAGATAAACAGTTAATAGATTTGCAGTTTTAATAAATTGACAGGTGAATAAGTCATTAAAATTTTAGATAAGTAGTCAGATATACTGTTTAAAAGATTTTTAGTGTATATAGAATTCAAGATTGTTATGATGTAGATGCAGCCATAATACAGTAAATGCTATAGAAAGAAGAATTCTATAAGGATGTTTTTAAGGATAATGGGGAGTGTGTGTGCATATGACAAGGGTGTAACTTAAGACAGTTTTGATTAATTAATCATATTAAAGCATAACATAAAACCATTTATTAAATAAATTGAAATGCTATTTTAAATTTTAAAAAATGGTTCAGAAGGGTGTTTGGAACACAAGACTTTTGTAAGCTTAAGCGACAAATTATTTTATGTTTACATAATTTAATGTATAACTTAACGCAGTAACCTAAATATAGTCTTTACTGACGATGCACTTCCATCCAATTGCATATTCAATTTTTCAGTTTAACCTAAAATTTGATTTGTAATTGTTAGGAAAGCAATTATCTAAGTCAATAAATAGGACATTTTGCAACTTATATCTATAAGGACTTGTTAACTAGCAAATGTTAAAGGGCAGTTTTAAAAATTTTCTCCAAGATAGCATCCTTGATATTTTCTCCAAGATAGCATCCTTGATAATCAGAAAAACAGTGTATATTTAATGGAAAATAGTTATAATGTTATGTCTGTCTTACAGTTGACTAATTTATTTTATTGTTTAGACAAATTAATTCTCTGGTTATAATATAATTATTCTTGTTATAATTATATTTTCTTACCATTTTAACAAATTTAATTATTATAATAACTTTTGGCATTCCCAAGAAGTTGAATGTATAAAGATATTGTCTATTCTTTTAAAATTTTTGAATGTCTTTTTTGTTTTGTCCTTCGAGAGTATTTAATTTCTCAAATGGAAATCAAATACGTCATTCTTTAGTTTCTAGTTCAAAATTTAATACTGTTTATTGAATGTCTTTTATTATTCATTACTGGATTTTCCAACTGAGTTGAATAAATAAGCTTTTACTTTTCTTTTCAGAAAAGCTTTCCAGGGAGAACTTAAAATATCCATGGGGAATGGGGAAACCCGAATTCTCCGGAGTACTCCAGACTGGGAGGTATTTATTGTTTTCCTTATTTAAAGTAGCATTTCCCAACCTATGTATCATTTATACCCACAGTTATTAACTGAAAAAATACAATTTGCATCTTTTCGTTTGCTAAAAATGAGCCACCAACTAGATAGGTTGGAAAATGCCGATTTAAAGTTATTACGTTGATTTTTCTGTTAATTTTTGGTATTTGTGTACAAAAATTAACAGAAAAATCAATGTAATAGGTTGAAAAATGCTGATTTAAAGTTATCTAGTCAGTGGCTCATTTAATTCCTTTAATCTAATCAAATGTTGCCTGCAATTGAAAAATCTAACTTTAGGTGACAAAGTATTTTTAATGAAACATTTTTATATTTAAAAAAAAATGTACTTAATTTTTACATTCCCATAACTTTTTAAACTGTTCTTTCATTTTTATTTATTTAAATCAGGGATGGGCAATCTTTTTCTACGTTAGTGAAACATTTAAAAGTTTCGGACCAATGCAGGCCTTGTACACATAAAACAAAACTGCGGGTAAATCACAATTATTTATTCGTATATGATTTAAAATTGACCTAGGTATACTTAATGTGACTTCTGGAACTGATGTGAATGTAATATATCCGAAATATTTAGTTAAATATTAGTCATTTCTAGTTTTGAGTTAATTTTGACGTGAGTCTGTTATCTGATTTTTTGTTTTGTTTTTTACTAAATTCATTGTGGAAGAAAAGTTTATATATGTAAGTCATAGAAAATAAAATTAGAATTTTTGCTGCATACTTCCTTAACTTGGGAACTTGATATATTTATTAATATATTGTGTGACACAGGCCATGGGTTGCCCACACCTGATTTAGATTTCACATCATTCGTTCTCATTTTCCAGTCACTTAAAATTAGTTTACTATTTCACAATTCCATTTTCAAGTATTAATCTTCACACTTAATTTTTACAGATTTGTTTATTTCTTATAAAAACATTTCAAGATTTGTATCTTTTTTAGTTATGGAAGTTTCAAATATATTGAATGGATAAGAAACTAGTAGTAGCATTAATACTTAAAAATGGAGTTGGGAAACAGTGAATTAATATTAAGCAAAAAAAACTAGAAAACTAAAATAGAGTATAAAAATTAAGCGGTGGAAAATGGAACAAACAGTGTTATCTTTTTAGCAGAATTTTTATCACTTAGGAAAGAATCCTTGTTTTATTTATCTCATAAATATTTTTAAAGATATTTCTATTATTTAAAATTTTTGAAAGATTATAAAGAGAATGACAGAACTACTTTAATACAATCATGACTTCACTGAACGAATAAACAAACAGATAAATGCATAACAAATTTATAATTTATTTATAGATTGAGATGCTGTTTGATTACATTTATATTTAAAATAATTTTAAATGTCATCCAACTACATATTTTAAAATACATAAATGTTTTTAATAACTCAAATGAAATTGTATAGTAGTCTACAAAATACTAAAGAAAATAAATCAATCATATACATTATTTAAGTGATTCTGTTTGTAATGTACAAAACACTTTCTGATGTTTAAAAAGTTCTGTATATTTATACAATCGAACAAAATGCTTCATAAATTATGTGAATTGCTACTTTAGTAAGTTTTAACTATATTTGTATGTGAATAATCAAATATATTAAATTTCAATTAAAAATGACTGATGATATTTATACAGTAAAAATACATAGAAGAAACTAAAATGTCTTGTTTTATCATGTCCACAACAGTCTTCCATTGCAGAGACAACCTTTCATTAGAGGCTACGACATTTACACAAGAAAAAATACATTGAAGAAACTAACATGTCCAATCATTGGGACAACATTTCCACTGACAGATTTTTATTAATGGAATAATTAAATTTTTAAAAAATAATTGGTAATAAATCTAGGCCTCTACATAATTTTCCTGTGTCTTACTTTACAATGATATTTTGGACACAAATATTTAATAGTTACACAGATTTCAATAAATTAATTGAATTTATTGTTAATTAATTAATAATAATATTACACAAATAATGAAAGAAATTTGATTGTGTTATTCTGTTCTCACTAATCTACCAAGTAAATTTTTACCACACCTATACATGAGCCAAAATGAAATGTAACCANACAGTAACTGCAATTTTTCTACTTTCTTAGAGTAATTATTTTAATTATCTTTAATTTTTATCATGTTTATACTTTAATGAGAAAAAGAAAGAAGGAAGGAATGAAAGGAGAGAGATGTGTAAATGTACAGTTTAATATGTTATTTTAAATTTAATATATCAAATTATAAGTGAAATATGCTTCTACTTAGCTATTGTAAACAGTTAATTAGAATCATATTTTGCAGAATATCTGTTAATTGTAATCAGAAGGAAGAAAAATTATAAATATGTTAATGTAAGATTGGGTTTGACAGTTTTATATATAAAGATAATTAAATATATACATTATAATTAGATATAAAACTCTGTACATAAATTAATTATAAAATAATGAAATTTATAAACATCTGATTGTTGTAAGTACACATTAACTTAATAATTAGAAAGGAAGTTTAATAATCCTGTAAACATACGGTTTACATTAAATTGCACATTACAGGATTATTTAATATTTACACATTTCTATGATTAAGTGTAAAATTAATTTCCTTGCATTATATCTTGTGGAGTACATTTTACTCAAAATCCAGCTAAGTAATCTTAGCTGGATTTCATGTAAAATGTATTAAAAACACAAGTTATATACATTATCATTAATATATAAAATGGTTTTAAAAATTAAAATGTTTACCTACATTCATATATTTCTCAATTCTCCATAGGAAAGTGCAATCAGCGATGACCACCTGTGGGTTAACAGTAGTGCCTCTGGAGATTTGTGCTACGTCGGAGATAATGACTGCTCAGTGAGTGCTTTTATGCCATCTTACTAAAGTATAAATTTCTGATTTTCGTTATAAAATTGTCTCTAAAGCACTGCATCGATTCAAATTTCAGAAACAAGGTCCGAGGATGAGGTGCCCATCTTGCAAAATTACTGCTCATACTAGATGCATCAACACCCTAATTGAAAAAGTTTGTTTTAACACATTTACTAATTTTTATTTATGTACAGAAATAAATTTAAGCTGTATTTTTTGTATAAAATGATTTTATTATTCTTAAATATTTTTAAAAACTGCTTAAAGTTTGATTCTGTAAATTGATAGATTTGAAGAGTGATAATATGAAATTGTATAGAAAGTGTTTAATGTTACAGTAATCAAATAATCAAATTTTATATTAATAAGAAATTGAATTAATTCTTTTAATATTAAATTTATTCTTCTTTAAATAGATGAAATTCCATTGTAAACCAACTTTCAAAGATGTTGGCGTCAGGCAGTATAGGGAGGTAAGTAGAACTGTGCTATTCTACTAATACTAATAATAATAATATGAAATCACTGATACACTATAGACTCAGAACTGTTATCTAAGTTTAGCAACAAGTATCTCCTGAACAGCTACATGCATTATAATTTAAAAAATACAGTTGTAAATCTAAGTGGGACTAAAATACACAATTCAGAAATAAAACCAAACATATAAACAAATTTTTATGTACTAAAACACTTGACTTACTTAGATTGATTTTTTTTTTCATTCTATTTTATTATCCATACAGCATTTTGCATTGTTATAAGACAAAAAATTTTTTAAAAATTTATCAATGATTAAATTCATTGTTTAATTTTGATTTGTTAGATAAATAAGTGATTTATTGAATTAGTATTTTATTTGTACTCAGTTATTTAAGGAAAACAATTATCCTTAAATGTAAACGGTTACTATAAAGATCTATGGATATTTCAGACATAGTTCTTAACTTTAAGATATTCTGAATAAACTGCAAAATCATTTACATATATTAAATGATTCTGACCTTGATTCATATCATGCATAGACTCTACCTTTCTGTCTCTAGAGCAGTTTCCCTTAGTGCTTATGCAGGTAGGGGGTTAATGAATCAAAAATATCTACTTTCATTCTAGTAGATATGCTGTTATCTCGCAGAATTCCATTTTTGTAATTATTTCATAAATTAATAGCGTAATTTTTGTAATATTTTATTCAGGACCATTTAAATAAATAAAAACCTATTTTATAAAATATGCCATTGTTAAAAAAGTAAAGGTCAGAATTTTTAATAATTCTGACCTTTACTTTTTTAACAATGGCATATTTTATGAAATGATTTTAAAAAAAATTCACTGATTTTGTTTTGAAATTGTTAAGTCCTTATATTAATTTCAAACATGTGTCTGAAATTTAAATGCTAAATAAATTCAAGTAAGTTTTAGAAAATTTGAAAATGAATAATTAATTTGGAAAACTTCCAAGTATCTAGTTAGAAGTCAGAGGTTAATTAGAGGTTTCTGATTTAAATATTTCCTTGCCAACTTAATCATTTGTTTACATCAGTGTAACAGATGAATGTTTTATGAGTGTATAAATTAAATAAATAAAATAAATTTTTCATTTGTATGCTATTGAAAGTTTAGTTATAACAGTTGTATCTATCCAGAAGTTAATGGGTTAGATTGTGATACTGATAAAAATCTTTAACTTAATTGAGAGAATTTCCATATGCAAATATTTTTGTTTTTAAATTAATTTTTTGTGCCAGAATAATTTGTTTAATACAAGTGTTGATATTATAATTTATGAAATTTATTTTAAAATTAGCTGTCACATGAATCAAATATAATTATCATAGTTGTGTGGAAATCATTAGAAATAGGACATATTTATTTTAGAGAGTAAATTTTTTCTAAAATATCTTATAATTTGTAGACATTATTGGTGGTTTTTTTTTTTCCAAAATTGATTTTATAATTGAACAGTGAAGTCATTCAAAGCCATTTTGGATGGATTAGTCGATAAAAATTGTATCAATTCTGACTTCAACTTTGATTTATAAACTTTGTTTTAAGCTTTCGCATCATTATAGGCTAGGAGGCTAAAAAACTAGCTTAACAATTCACATAGTGATGATATATCTTATATACTATTTATCATTTTGATAGCTTTAACATTATTAGTTTGTGCTGAAGTGTTATGAAGGAGTCAAAGTCAGAAATTTAAAAACTGAATGGAGTGGATTGGTTTTGTGTATCTATTCCATAGCCCTGTTGGTAATAAATGTGATTTTTCAATGGAGGAATTCCTATGGGGAGTTTATTGATATGAACTTTATGTGAATTGGTACTTAAGAAGTCGAGATAAAACAGAGATATGTACTTGCTTTTGTCAGTTTGAAAATTTGCTTTGATTGATAGATTGGGACCATACACATAAAGTTGATTATTTTCTGTTTCATCTTTATTTTTTCTTTCATGATTATTTTATATTTACATTTTACTGCTCACACAGGGCAGTCAGTTATTTTCAAATTTTGAACATAAATTTCTTTTATTAAAATGTTCTGTTTGCTTGGGTTCAATTTTCCAAAGATGCTCTGTTTAGGCTGAATGTTTTAGAAGTTTGAATTAAGAATCATTGTTTCTAGGTGTTGAGTTGTGTAAGATAATTTAACAAATTAAATTGTTTGTTTTGTATTTAAAAAATAAAATATTGTAGTTTTCTTTTGTAAATAAGATAACAAAATTTNTAAACAGTTTAATATCCTATACAAACTATTTTCTTTTTTACATTGTAAACTATAAATTAATATGTATTCTTAATATAATAATTGTAAAGGATTTCTTACCATGAATTTTTTTTTTTTTTCAAAAATAATTAATTTCCATTTACTTAAGGTGTGAAATATCATTTTATAATTATTTAATGCATGTTCTTCCAAAATTTAAAGTATTACTAATTAATGGAAAGTGGTATATGAAAAGCTTTTGTTTATCTTGTGCATATAATTTAGCTACATTAGCTCTATTCTCACAACAAAACCACAATATAAATACAATAATTTTTAATAATGAATAAGTATTGTTATTCGATACACATTTCTGTTGTTATTAATTAGTATGATTAATTTCTTCATTAACGAATTGGAAAAAAATTGTAATTAAGTGTCATATTGGAATTTTTATCATAAAAAAAATAAGTCTGGACCAAGTATATCAACAGATATATTTTACTGTGTTTCATATAATAAAGTAAAAGTGACACAACCATTACTGATTGATGCGATCCGGTTGTCATGATCAATCGTTTTTAGTGATACTTCTTAAAAGAGTATCACTAAAATTGCAAAAAGTTGCACAAATTGCACGTATTGCAAAAAGAAATATATTAAAAAGAGTTTTATTTGCGTATCTTGTAGTATTCGTAATACAAATTTAAATTTACTTTAGTAAAATTGTTTTCGAATCATTTAATGTAAAATATTAAACTTTCATGAGATATAATCATTTAAACTCTATCGCATTTCGCATTATAGAAATACATCACGTATCTTGTTTGCATTAGTAATAGAAACAGCGCGCATCAACGATACATGTTATAAAATATACGGCAGGTTCAAGTTTCTGTATTGATGCTGTACACTTGTACTCTACCATACTTTGAAGCACAAGTTTCCTGTAGTGTATTATATTGAAAAGTATCTTTTTTTATATTACTTTCGTTAGAAAAATGAAGATGAAAGACTTTATTTACAACCTCTAAGTTTTTTTAATGATATAACTCATTACATACACAAGCCATTGATTTTCGCTGTATACTTTCCATACGCTACGCCTCATCTTATTGAAGTGGCACACTTTAACAAGATGACCATTTGTGGCTGCAATATATATTCATGCATTAATTTAGCTCTCTCTCTAGAGATAAATTGGTAGCAGCAGCTTAAAGATCACTAAGTTAATTATTCATAAAATGGCTGTAAGCATCAGTAATGGTCACTAACCACCCTTTATAGATCCATAGTTAACGCTCTCAGAATCATAAAAATATTTTTATAAATGATTATTTTCAACATTAATATGTTGAATTAATATGCTGCTTGTCTCNGTGGCAAACTTATTTCTTTAAAATCATACAACTCAAAAATAAATCTGCCATCAATGTTTTTAATTGTTATTTCTGTACATAAATAGATGATTAATTTTAATTATGATTTATTTTCAAAGATAAATTTAAAACAAGTACTATCATCTTAATTAAATTTGGGCAATTTATCCTTGTATTAGTATCTAAAAGTATACTATTTAATACTTAACATAAAAAAAGTACCTATTTAACAATTATTTACTAAGATTGTGGCATTTATTTCTGAATACTGTAAGGTCTCGTTTTATGCGGTGGATACGTTCTACAGAAAAGCGCATATAAAAAATTTGCTTAAAAAAAAGACTTTACTTGCCTTGAAAAAGTAGGGATACGTTCCGTATTTTTCTAAAATGGCATAAAACCAAAACAATGAGTTAAAATTAACTTAAAACTGCATAAAAAAGTTTGCATAAATTAAAAGAAATAGACTGCTTAATAAATTACTTCGAATGTCTGAAAGAAATTCATATAAAAGCTTAAAATAAACTTGTATTCAAACTTAATTCAGTTTATTTTATTGAAAAGTAATACAAGGGGAATCCCCAAATTGCAAAAGCTCACTCTAAAAACAAATCACTAACATCTAAATGTGAAGAGTTAATTAAAACTCCTTTAGTTCCTCGCCTGAGTTAACTCGGGCAGGTTACGTAGCGTTACATAAAACACGGTCCTTAAGGCTTTGAAATTTTTTTTGAATTTTTGGAATGTTTTTTAAGTTTCCAAATTTTTTTAAAATATTTAAAAATATACAGCCAGCTAGTGTTCACCCTACTTTAAACCCTTGTCCTCCCGCGACATCTATGAGAATGCCTGAGGAAATCCAACTCCAGCTGTGTTCAAGGTCATCCAGATGTGTAAACAATGACTCATCGGTGTTAAATTTTACAGAAGGGCGAGACAAAGGAAGTTAAACTTTGAAGCTTTTTCTTCAAAATTAACGCATTTTCATTTTTTTCAGTTTTAAGTATTTTTTTGTTTAATTACATTTATATCAAAAATTGCTAGGAACTAAAGCGATTAAGGTAGATCTAGCTGTCCTTTACATCCATAAACGTTATATGTCAGTCGAACAAATGGAGTGAGCTTTGAGCGTTCCACGATTTTTGGACACTGTCTATACGCGGGCTTCCTAAACAAGCCTATATTTATGCTTGTCCAAGAAATTTTTGGATGAAATACAAACCGCACAACTTCAAAATCGCATAAAAATAATCCGCANTTACCTGGCCACGTGTTACCTATTGTCCCGCTCTTGTCATCGCTAAACTGATGACTCTCATTATGGATTTATTACTAAACTAACAAGGTAATGCTACCTACTGGTTGTACGCTCGATAGAGCACTAACGACCCGGGTGGTCCCCCTTTAATTTCTATCAAAAAAATAATACAGTTCGATGAATTTGATATGCCCAATTTTATATATATATATATATATATATATATATTTCTTAATTATTACTAAGTTAATTTAATTGCCTTAATGTCCTTAAATCGTACTTTATTCTAAAAATTGTCAACTTGGACTTATCAGATTATTAGGTCTAGTACACTGATGTACCAGCTATTTGCAAAATGAGGAGTTCTTAATTAATCAGAAAAAATAAAGATTTTTCGTTTTTCTGATTAAGAACTCCTCCTTTTGCAAATAGCCAGTACATCAGTGTACTAGACCTAATAATCTGATAAGTCCAAGTTGACAATTTTTAGAATAAACTACTAAATTTTGTTTTTTAAATTCTCTTCTCTAGCAAACTGTGATCCATCATCATTGGGTACATCGGAGGAGTCAAAAAGGGAAGTGTAACCAGTGTGGAAAAGTAAGATGAATTTATAAATTTGGTTAATGGGTCTTTAATTTTGGTGCCAAAATTAAAAGTTAATAATTTTTTTCAGTCATTCCAATCTAAATTACCATTTGGTGCTAAGGTAAATAATAAATATCAATTTACATATTTGTGGTTTAATTCTTCAATTATATTCCAATTTTTATTAATTTTTTTTAGCAAGAAATCTTAGCTATCAGTTGCTCTTGGTGCAAAATAGCGTATCATAATAAGGAAACGTGTTTCAATATGCAAAGGATAGGAGAACAATGTACTTTGGGAATTCACTCCAGTTTAATTGTTCCTCCATCGTGGATTGTCAAATTACCGAGGAAGGTAAATCTTATTTTAAATAAATTCGTATAATTAATTATGAAGATTAATGAAATTTTTTAAAAAGGGTTCATTCAAATCCTCGCTAAGAAGATCTCCAAAAAAGAGAGCATCAAGTAAAAAAAAGCCCAAAAAAGAAGTGAGTCAATATCAATTAACTGTTCAAGGCATGATTTTTACTGTGTGTGTGTGTGTGTTTTTTTTAAGTTAATCTTTTATTATACAGGGTGAGAAAGAATTGCCAAGAACTTTTGTAATCAAACCGATACCTTCAGTGAATTCGAAACCATTGTTAGTTTTCATTAATCCAAAAAGTGGCGGAAACCAAGGAGCTAAACTGATGCAGAAATTTCAATGGTTGCTCAATCCACGTCAAGTTTTTGATTTATCTCAGGGAGGTCCTGCGGCAGGGTGAATATTTTTTATTGTCTCCTTTTTTTATATGGATATTCTAAATTTTAATGTCTTTTGTATTTTATTTGTAGGCTAGAATTATATAAAAAGGTGCCAAACTTAAGAATACTTGCATGCGGAGGTGACGGGACAGCTGGGTGGATTCTTTCCGTCCTGGACGAATTAGGTATATCTCCACAGCCTCCACTGGCTGTCTTACCTTTGGGCACAGGAAATGATCTTGCAAGAGCACTAGGATGGGGAGGAGTAAGTATATTTTATTAATATAAGAATAATGTAAGAATAATGTAAATATGAAATAAGAATAATGTAAATAACATTATTGTGGCATTATGTATTTATTTGGGATTATTATGAGAAATGTTAAATTAACAGCAAAATCCAGTTTTGGTAAATTTTACATTGATTTACAATAAATCTAAATAATGAGACACATTTATTAGTTAATTAAAATGACATTACAATCATGCTGTTTATGTATCAATTTAAGTTTAGTTAATTATTATTTTTTTATATTTTAATTCTTTGGAATTTATTTTTATAAGTCAACATCAGAATTTATTCATAGATATATCATGAAACAATTTGAAGTTTTAAGCTTTTACAATTATCACTGTATTAAGGAAGATCAACTTTTAAAGAATGTTGTGACACTTTTTCTTGTCAAAAATACAGAACGGGTATTTTCTGTATCATTGTAAAGAAAAGTTCTTAGTGAATCTATCAAAAAAAATTGCATGGAAATATGATACTTCACTTTGCCGCTAGAGCATGCTGAGCAAATGATGTCTATTACTCACCTTTTGACAAAATAGAAGTTGATCATGATCACCAGTGTTAGTTTTTACTGATTATGAATCATAGCTACATCACTTCAATTTTTAGATCAAAATATGCTAGTACATTGTGGAAATCACCATCTTTCACTCAATCCACTCTTTGCATTAATGGTTAGCTACTGCACTGTGCCTGCATGTTGTTAACATAGTTTTTGGTCAAGAAATTTATGTTATATACTCCATATCCACATACATAGCCTATTTAGCACCCTCCAACTTTTTCCCATTTTCAGTATTGAAATTAAAGTTATATAGCCTAGTAAATCTTAACTGTAGCATCTAATGTATAAATTAACCAACAGTTTGTTTAGTTTTATCAGTTTTTATGTCAGTGAGATTTTGTTTAACCTATCTTGTGTTATTCCTGACATGTCTCGGGGTTGACCTCTGACCTTGACTGGTTGATCCAAGATATATCGTTTTAGCATCAGAACATTTTTGAAACTAGATGCTGCTACTTGTTATAATTTTTATATTAAAACTAACTTTTGAAATACAGTAGAGCGTCGATTATCTGAAAGTCAATCATCCGAAACGTCAATCATCCGAAAGAATTCCAGTCGGCAAATTTAAATTTTCGCCAGTGCTGTGGCACTGCAATCTTTGACTATGTCTTGGGATACTCAAATATTTTACGTTTTTGATACTAAATTAACTTCTGAAGTATAATTTTCTATTGTTTTTATATTTTTCAATATATTTATTTTGTTTGTACAAAATAANACGTTAGGTGACAAAGTATTTTTAATGAAACATTTTTATATTTAAAAAAAAATGTACTTAATTTTTACATTCCCATAACTTTTTAAACTGTTCTTTCATTTTTATTTATTTAAATCAGGGATGGGCAATCTTTTTCTACGTTAGTGAAACATTTAAAAGTTTCGGACCAATGCAGGCCTTGTACACATAAAACAAAACTGCGGGTAAATCACAATTATTTATTCGTATATGATTTAAAATTGACCTAGGTATACTTAATGTGACTTCTGGAACTGATGTGAATGTAATATATCCGAAATATTTAGTTAAATATTAGTCATTTCTAGTTTTGAGTTAATTTTGACGTGAGTCTGTTATCTGATTTTTTGTTTTGTTTTTTACTAAATTCATTGTGGAAGAAAAGTTTATATATGTAAGTCATAGAAAATAAAATTAGAATTTTTGCTGCATACTTCCTTAACTTGGGAACTTGATATATTTATTAATATATTGTGTGACACAGGCCATGGGTTGCCCACACCTGATTTAGATTTCACATCATTCGTTCTCATTTTCCAGTCACTTAAAATTAGTTTACTATTTCACAATTCCATTTTCAAGTATTAATCTTCACACTTAATTTTTACAGATTTGTTTATTTCTTATAAAAACATTTCAAGATTTGTATATTTTTTAGTTATGGAAGTTTCAAATATATTGAATGGATAAGAAACTAGTAGTAGCATTAATACTTAAAAATGGAGTTGGGAAACAGTGAATTAATATTAAGCAAAAAAAACTAGAAAACTAAAATAGAGTATAAAAATTAAGCGGTGGAAAATGGAACAAACAGTGTTATCTTTTTAGCAGAATTTTTATCACTTAGGAAAGAATCCTTGTTTTATTTATCTCATAAATATTTTTAAAGATATTTCTATTATTTAAAATTTTTGAAAGATTATAAAGAGAATGACAGAACTACTTTAATACAATCATGACTTCACTGAACGAATAAACAAACAGATAAATGCATAACAAATTTATAATTTATTTATAGATTGAGATGCTGTTTGATTACATTTATATTTAAAATAATTTTAAATGTCATCCAACTACATATTTTAAAATACATAAATGTTTTTAATAACTCAAATGAAATTGTATAGTAGTCTACAAAATACTAAAGAAAATAAATCAATCATATACATTATTTAAGTGATTCTGTTTGTAATGTACAAAACACTTTCTGATGTTTAAAAAGTTCTGTATATTTATACAATCGAACAAAATGCTTCATAAATTATGTGAATTGCTACTTTAGTAAGTTTTAACTATATTTGTATGTGAATAATCAAATATATTAAATTTCAATTAAAAATGACTGATGATATTTATACAGTAAAAATACATAGAAGAAACTAAAATGTCTTGTTTTATCATGTCCACAACAGTCTTCCATTGCAGAGACAACCTTTCATTAGAGGCTACGACATTTACACAAGAAAAAATACATTGAAGAAACTAACATGTCCAATCATTGGGATAAGATTTTGTTAACTAGCAAATGTTAAAGGGCAGTTTTAAAAATTTTCTCCAAGATAGCATCCTTGATATTTTCTCCAAGATAGCATCCTTGATAATCAGAAAAACAGTGTATATTTAATGGAAAATAGTTATAATGTTATGTCTGTCTTACAGTTGACTAATTTATTTTATTGTTTAGACAAATTAATTCTCTGGTTATAATATAATTATTCTTGTTATAATTATATTTTCTTACCATTTTAACAAATTTAATTATTATAATAACTTTTGGCATTCCCAAGAAGTTGAATGTATAAAGATATTGTCTATTCTTTTAAAATTTTTGAATGTCTTTTTTGTTTTGTCCTTCGAGAGTATTTAATTTCTCAAATGGAAATCAAATACGTCATTCTTTAGTTTCTAGTTCAAAATTTAATACTGTTTATTGAATGTCTTTTATTATTCATTACTGGATTTTCCAACTGAGTTGAATAAATAAGCTTTTACTTTTCTTTTCAGAAAAGCTTTCCAGGGAGAACTTAAAATATCCATGGGGAATGGGGAAACCCGAATTCTCCGGAGTACTCCAGACTGGGAGGTATTTATTGTTTTCCTTATTTAAAGTAGCATTTCCCAACCTATGTATCATTTATACCCACAGTTATTAACTGAAAAAATACAATTTGCATCTTTTCGTTTGCTAAAAATGAGCCACCAACTAGATAGGTTGGAAAATGCCGATTTAAAGTTATTACGTTGATTTTTCTGTTAATTTTTGGTATTTGTGTACAAAAATTAACAGAAAAATCAATGTAATAGGTTGAAAAATGCTGATTTAAAGTTATCTAGTCAGTGGCTCATTTAATTCCTTTAATCTAATCAAATGTTGCCTGCAATTGAAAAATCTAACTTTAGGTGACAAAGTATTTTTAATGAAACATTTTTATATTTAAAAAAAAATGTACTTAATTTTTACATTCCCATAACTTTTTAAACTGTTCTTTCATTTTTATTTATTTAAATCAGGGATGGGCAATCTTTTTCTACGTTAGTGAAACATTTAAAAGTTTCGGACCAATGCAGGCCTTGTACACATAAAACAAAACTGCGGGTAAATCACAATTATTTATTCGTATATGATTTAAAATTGACCTAGGTATACTTAATGTGACTTCTGGAACTGATGTGAATGTAATATATCCGAAATATTTAGTTAAATATTAGTCATTTCTAGTTTTGAGTTAATTTTGACGTGAGTCTGTTATCTGATTTTTTGTTTTGTTTTTTACTAAATTCATTGTGGAAGAAAAGTTTATATATGTAAGTCATAGAAAATAAAATTAGAATTTTTGCTGCATACTTCCTTAACTTGGGAACTTGATATATTTATTAATATATTGTGTGACACAGGCCATGGGTTGCCCACACCTGATTTAGATTTCACATCATTCGTTCTCATTTTCCAGTCACTTAAAATTAGTTTACTATTTCACAATTCCATTTTCAAGTATTAATCTTCACACTTAATTTTTACAGATTTGTTTATTTCTTATAAAAACATTTCAAGATTTGTATCTTTTTTAGTTATGGAAGTTTCAAATATATTGAATGGATAAGAAACTAGTAGTAGCATTAATACTTAAAAATGGAGTTGGGAAACAGTGAATTAATATTAAGCAAAAAAAACTAGAAAACTAAAATAGAGTATAAAAATTAAGCGGTGGAAAATGGAACAAACAGTGTTATCTTTTTAGCAGAATTTTTATCACTTAGGAAAGAATCCTTGTTTTATTTATCTCATAAATATTTTTAAAGATATTTCTATTATTTAAAATTTTTGAAAGATTATAAAGAGAATGACAGAACTACTTTAATACAATCATGACTTCACTGAACGAATAAACAAACAGATAAATGCATAACAAATTTATAATTTATTTATAGATTGAGATGCTGTTTGATTACATTTATATTTAAAATAATTTTAAATGTCATCCAACTACATATTTTAAAATACATAAATGTTTTTAATAACTCAAATGAAATTGTATAGTAGTCTACAAAATACTAAAGAAAATAAATCAATCATATACATTATTTAAGTGATTCTGTTTGTAATGTACAAAACACTTTCTGATGTTTAAAAAGTTCTGTATATTTATACAATCGAACAAAATGCTTCATAAATTATGTGAATTGCTACTTTAGTAAGTTTTAACTATATTTGTATGTGAATAATCAAATATATTAAATTTCAATTAAAAATGACTGATGATATTTATACAGTAAAAATACATAGAAGAAACTAAAATGTCTTGTTTTATCATGTCCACAACAGTCTTCCATTGCAGAGACAACCTTTCATTAGAGGCTACGACATTTACACAAGAAAAAATACATTGAAGAAACTAACATGTCCAATCATTGGGACAACATTTCCACTGACAGATTTTTATTAATGGAATAATTAAATTTTTAAAAAATAATTGGTAATAAATCTAGGCCTCTACATAATTTTCCTGTGTCTTACTTTACAATGATATTTTGGACACAAATATTTAATAGTTACACAGATTTCAATAAATTAATTGAATTTATTGTTAATTAATTAATAATAATATTACACAAATAATGAAAGAAATTTGATTGTGTTATTCTGTTCTCACTAATCTACCAAGTAAATTTTTACCACACCTATACATGAGCCAAAATGAAATGTAACCAGACTTTTTTTATAATTATTATATTTGAAATACATATTTTGTTTAATATAATGCCAAAAAACAGTATATAAATTGTTTTTGCTTATGGCTGACTTCATTATACATAATTATTTTAATTATCTTTAATTTTTATCATGTTTATACTTTAATGAGAAAAAGAAAGAAGGAAGGAATGAAAGGAGAGAGATGTGTAAATGTACAGTTTAATATGTTATTTTAAATTTAATATATCAAATTATAAGTGAAATATGCTTCTACTTAGCTATTGTAAACAGTTAATTAGAATCATATTTTGCAGAATATCTGTTAATTGTAATCAGAAGGAAGAAAAATTATAAATATGTTAATGTAAGATTGGGTTTGACAGTTTTATATATAAAGATAATTAAATATATACATTATAATTAGATATAAAACTCTGTACATAAATTAATTATAAAATAATGAAATTTATAAACATCTGATTGTTGTAAGTACACATTAACTTAATAATTAGAAAGGAAGTTTAATAATCCTGTAAACATACGGTTTACATTAAATTGCACATTACAGGATTATTTAATATTTACACATTTCTATGATTAAGTGTAAAATTAATTTCCTTGCATTATATCTTGTGGAGTACATTTTACTCAAAATCCAGCTAAGTAATCTTAGCTGGATTTCATGTAAAATGTATTAAAAACACAAGTTATATACATTATCATTAATATATAAAATGGTTTTAAAAATTAAAATGTTTACCTACATTCATATATTTCTCAATTCTCCATAGGAAAGTGCAATCAGCGATGACCACCTGTGGGTTAACAGTAGTGCCTCTGGAGATTTGTGCTACGTCGGAGATAATGACTGCTCAGTGAGTGCTTTTATGCCATCTTACTAAAGTATAAATTTCTGATTTTCGTTATAAAATTGTCTCTAAAGCACTGCATCGATTCAAATTTCAGAAACAAGGTCCGAGGATGAGGTGCCCATCTTGCAAAATTACTGCTCATACTAGATGCATCAACACCCTAATTGAAAAAGTTTGTTTTAACACATTTACTAATTTTTATTTATGTACAGAAATAAATTTAAGCTGTATTTTTTGTATAAAATGATTTTATTATTCTTAAATATTTTTAAAAACTGCTTAAAGTTTGATTCTGTAAATTGATAGATTTGAAGAGTGATAATATGAAATTGTATAGAAAGTGTTTAATGTTACAGTAATCAAATAATCAAATTTTATATTAATAAGAAATTGAATTAATTCTTTTAATATTAAATTTATTCTTCTTTAAATAGATGAAATTCCATTGTAAACCAACTTTCAAAGATGTTGGCGTCAGGCAGTATAGGGAGGTAAGTAGAACTGTGCTATTCTACTAATACTAATAATAATAATATGAAATCACTGATACACTATAGACTCAGAACTGTTATCTAAGTTTAGCAACAAGTATCTCCTGAACAGCTACATGCATTATAATTTAAAAAATACAGTTGTAAATCTAAGTGGGACTAAAATACACAATTCAGAAATAAAACCAAACATATAAACAAATTTTTATGTACTAAAACACTTGACTTACTTAGATTGATTTTTTTTTTCATTCTATTTTATTATCCATACAGCATTTTGCATTGTTATAAGACAAAAAATTTTTTAAAAATTTATCAATGATTAAATTCATTGTTTAATTTTGATTTGTTAGATAAATAAGTGATTTATTGAATTAGTATTTTATTTGTACTCAGTTATTTAAGGAAAACAATTATCCTTAAATGTAAACGGTTACTATAAAGATCTATGGATATTTCAGACATAGTTCTTAACTTTAAGATATTCTGAATAAACTGCAAAATCATTTACATATATTAAATGATTCTGACCTTGATTCATATCATGCATAGACTCTACCTTTCTGTCTCTAGAGCAGTTTCCCTTAGTGCTTATGCAGGTAGGAGGTTAATGAATCAAAAATATCTACTTTCATTCTAGTAGATATGCTGTTATCTCGCAGAATTCCATTTTTGTAATTATTTCATAAATTAATAGCGTAATTTTTGTAATATTTTATTCAGGACCATTTAAATAAATAAAAACCTATTTTATAAAATATGCCATTGTTAAAAAAGTAAAGGTCAGAATTTTTAATAATTCTGACCTTTACTTTTTTAACAATGGCATATTTTATGAAATGATTTTAAAAAAAATTCACTGATTTTGTTTTGAAATTGTTAAGTCCTTATATTAATTTCAAACATGTGTCTGAAATTTAAATGCTAAATAAATTCAAGTAAGTTTTAGAAAATTTGAAAATGAATAATTAATTTGGAAAACTTCCAAGTATCTAGTTAGAAGTCAGAGGTTAATTAGAGGTTTCTGATTTAAATATTTCCTTGCCAACTTAATCATTTGTTTACATCAGTGTAACAGATGAATGTTTTATGAGTGTATAAATTAAATAAATAAAATAAATTTTTCATTTGTATGCTATTGAAAGTTTAGTTATAACAGTTGTATCTATCCAGAAGTTAATGGGTTAGATTGTGATACTGATAAAAATCTTTAACTTAATTGAGAGAATTTCCATATGCAAATATTTTTGTTTTTAAATTAATTTTTTGTGCCAGAATAATTTGTTTAATACAAGTGTTGATATTATAATTTATGAAATTTATTTTAAAATTAGCTGTCACATGAATCAAATATAATTATCATAGTTGTGTGGAAATCATTAGAAATAGGACATATTTATTTTAGAGAGTAAATTTTTTCTAAAATATCTTATAATTTGTAGACATTATTGGTGGTTTTTTTTTTTCCAAAATTGATTTTATAATTGAACAGTGAAGTCATTCAAAGCCATTTTGGATGGATTAGTCGATAAAAATTGTATCAATTCTGACTTCAACTTTGATTTATAAACTTTGTTTTAAGCTTTCGCATCATTATAGGCTAGGAGGCTAAAAAACTAGCTTAACAATTCACATAGTGATGATATATCTTATATACTATTTATCATTTTGATAGCTTTAACATTATTAGTTTGTGCTGAAGTGTTATGAAGGAGTCAAAGTCAGAAATTTAAAAACTGAATGGAGTGGATTGGTTTTGTGTATCTATTCCATAGCCCTGTTGGTAATAAATGTGATTTTTCAATGGAGGAATTCCTATGGGGAGTTTATTGATATGAACTTTATGTGAATTGGTACTTAAGAAGTCGAGATAAAACAGAGATATGTACTTGCTTTTGTCAGTTTGAAAATTTGCTTTGATTGATAGATTGGGACCATACACATAAAGTTGATTATTTTCTGTTTCATCTTTATTTTTTCTTTCATGATTATTTTATATTTACATTTTACTGCTCACACAGGGCAGTCAGTTATTTTCAAATTTTGAACATAAATTTCTTTTATTAAAATGTTCTGTTTGCTTGGGTTCAATTTTCCAAAGATGCTCTGTTTAGGCTGAATGTTTTAGAAGTTTGAATTAAGAATCATTGTTTCTAGGTGTTGAGTTGTGTAAGATAATTTAACAAATTAAATTGTTTGTTTTGTATTTAAAAAATAAAATATTGTAGTTTTCTTTTGTAAATAAGATAACAAAATTTTCATGTGTAATTTAAATTATATTTATATCATATGAAAATAGATCCTACTTAATAATATGCAAGTACTTATAAACTAACACAGTACTGTTTAAGAATTCACATTTTTAAAATTATTTTTAATAAGAGTGTATTTGATTTGATAATAATTAAAATTAATCATCTGTTATTAAAGATATAATCCCATGTATTAATTAATTTGAAAAAATTAATCAAAACTGCACATTATTAATGAAATAAGTCTTAATTATATTGAGTAACTTGCTACAATTGTATCATATTATAACATAAATATTATTAGTATTGTTTTATTAAAATTTCAATATTTAACTGTAAATGTTTTTGACAAATGATAGAAAACTGCATTTATATGCTTGTTAATTTATTGTATGTGTAGTGTTTGAATTATTAAATATATTGTAAAATTTACTTGATGAAAAATATTTTTGTAATATCAAGATAGTAANGACACAATTATTCTTTTCAAAAATGTGTAATTTTTGTTATGCTTAACATTGATGAAAATTCAACATGACATCACCTGCAATGGAGAAAACTTTGAACATCAGATAGTTTAAAGTATTGTAATGTATCTGAAAACTGTACCTGATACCACTTATAATTTTTCAACAAAATTGCAACTTTATACTGATAACTAGTTAATTTTTCTAATACATTTGTTCAAATTCATAATACATTGAGTAAACAAGTTATAGAAGATACAGTGGAACCTTGTTAACTTGAACTGGGATAACTCAGTCATTTTATCTTCCGAATTGTTTAGCATAGAAATTTACATGTTAACTCAAATGGGGTTTTAATACAGTATTTTCATAAAGTCTCCACAATTTTAATTTTCAGTTAAATAAAATAATTAACATTCATCTATTGAATAAACTAATTAGAAACTTTTAAATAAACATAGAATAAAAATAAATGGGTCTCATGAAGGTTGCTGGGATGACTTCCAGATAGCACTTATGACCTAGATATTGTAACTGTCATTTGAACATTTAGTTTTTTTTTTCCTTCTTTCTTTTAGTTGTCAATGGGACTCTTAGTGCCCGCAAGGCAGGAAGAGTCAAAAAACTACTTGTTTTACAAAAATACTTTATTTTTGCTTTTTCCTTAAAACTATTGACTAACAAATATTTCATTTTTGGACTCTTGCTCAGGGTTACACAGATGAACCTATCTCTAAAATACTAATAAATGTACAAGAGGGAAATGTTACACAGTTGGATAGGTGAGTTTATTTTATTTTCAGCAGCCATTGTCAATAATAATGTCATTTATGTTAAGCTTTTTCAATTTTTAGGTGGGATTTATCTGTTCAGAAAAATACTGAAGTCGATCTGTCACAATGTGAAGAGGGAAAGGAATACTTTCCTCTTCACGTTGTTAATAATTATTTTTCATTGGGAGTTGATGCTCACATTGCTTTAGAATTTCATGAAGCAAGAGGTATGCACAATATATAAATTTTTAGAAACTTAAGTACAAAAATGAAATACAAATGTAAATTTACAATTCAGAGGCTCGTCCCGATAAATTTAACAGTCGACTTAGGAACAAAATGTTCTACGGTCAGGCAGGTGGAAAAGATCTGTTGCAGAGAAAATGGAAGGATTTGTGTTCCTGCGTAACATTAGAGGTATAGCTAATGACATTTAATATTGTGGGGTTTAAAAATTTAGCTAAAAGAAATTCTTACTATTTTAATAATTTTAGTGTGACGATCAAGACTTGACTCCTCGTTTAAAAGAACTTAAAGTCCATTCAGTATTGTTCCTTAACATTCCTAGGTAAGTAAAATCTATTTCTAAATATTAGCTTGTTTTAAAGTCTCTATTTACACTTAAAACATTCAAACCTTCCACGTTTTATTAGTGAAAAACCATAAGTAAATGTGATGATATGCACTAGCTTGTAAATTTATTCTTTAGAGTTAAAGATGGTATAGTACTTCAATGAAACATTGATAATATAGGACAGGATCAGTATCAAAACTCTAACAAATCACATAATGAAGAAAATATCATTTATTCTGAATGGCTTGGACAACTGAATAAATTCAGAAGTTTTATTTATGTTAATTGGTAATTCATATTGGGTTGTTTGCAAGAAAATTAAAAGTGGTAAGAATTTAAGTTATAACTTTATTTCACACACACAATCATTTTGATTAATGTTCTAATACAGAGAATCTTTTAAGAGAGTAAGTTCTGGATATTGACAATATCAATATATACTATTGTTAATATTCTGGATATTAACAATATCCAGAATATTAACAATATTGACAATATCAATATATCCAGATATTGACAATATCAATATATACTATTGTTAATATTCTGGATATTAACAATATCCAGAATATTAACAATATTGACAATATCAATATATCCAGATATTGACAATATCAATATATACTATTGTTAATATTCTGGATATTAACAATATCAATATATACTATTGTTATAAATGATCTGATTTTCATCTCACTTAGACATTTTTTGCTTTCTACAATTGTTTCCAAGTATTTTACTGTTGCATGAAAATTTAGATAGAATTATATTTAAGATTGAAGAATTTATTGGATGTCAAAGCCATGGTAAGAAAATAATGAATAAAATTTACAATAATATTAAAGATCAGATTCCTAAGTGTTATTTTACCAATATGTAATATATTGTTGTTATCGAAACTGTGTTGTTGTTTATGTATTGTATACTGGCACGATGAAGTGACCGTTTAACCAACATGTGACAAGTTTTCCATCTTTATTTAGTTAGTACGCCGTAATATGTAATATTGTAAATCGTGCAAGATTAAATGAATATTGTTTAGCTTGCCTAAAGATTATTTTCAAACTGTTTTTTTTTTAACTGTTTTAGTAATTTGTAGCTAGTATAACTAATTAAATAAGAATATTCTTATCAAATTAGTTATACTAGCTACAAATTACGAAAACAGTTAAAAAAAAAAAAAAAAAAAAGTTTGAAAATAATCTTTAGGCAAGCAATAAGAATATTGTTTAGCTATCTGAAGTCAATTTTTAATAACGAACAACAAATATTTCAATGAAACATTTCAGTTATGGCGGAGGTACTCATCCATGGGGTAATCCCACTACTGGATTTGAAATGCAGAAAACAGATGATGGACTTATAGAAGTAATAGGCTTAACTACTTACCAATTGGTGAGTTGTATTTTATTTTTTCTGTTAATAAATTATGGAAGATTCAAATCTTTCCAGTATTTTACCATTCAGTCATTCATCTAACTAGATTTAATTGTATATCTTGATATAAAATTATACAAGTTAATCTTGAGAATAAAATATTTGCAGGAATAAAAGGATTGGCATGCATTTTATGTAAATTTTTCTTAATACTGATTATAAATATGCTTCTGTATTATGGAAGCTAAAATTTTGACATTGGTAAAAAATTAGTTGGAATTAATATTATCTAAGTTAACAGTTCCACACACAATAGAGAAACTTGTTTATACCAATATTTGTGTATAATAATAACTGTTATTAAGCCAACAACTACGGATTATATCAAGCTATTATATTGTGGTTATTTTAAATTAATTACTAAATAGTTTGTCACTAGAGGGAGGCATTAGGCGCCATCTCTTGTCAGATTTAATAATTATAAATAATTTTTTTATTATTCAAATGAAACTGTGTTTTTTTTATNATTACATTTGAAGATTGGAGTCTACCTGGCGCCCATCTGGGTCCATTGCTGAATTAGATTGTGTCAACAAAAGACGATGTTTCTCTTCGCCGATATATAACCTATCATAAATACAATGTAATTAGATTTTTCGACGGATATCAGTAAATCTTGTATAATACAACTCTACTATCCTCTATCGAAAAATCAGTCGGTATTGTTTATAAATATTATTATTATATTTTTTAAATAGAATTAATAAAGACTAGCTGCCGTAAATCTAGGTTAAATTGAGTTATATATCTCTTAATGATTAATAATGATGTGTCTCGTTCTAACACCTCCCCATTCGCTAACTGCTGATAAATGATAAATCGAAGAGTAAGTTGGAAAGATGTTCGTGACATCAACGTAAATATTAATTTTACGAAAGGGTTTTTTTTTTTCGAGTGAATATATTGTCTATTCTAATTCAACAGATACGTCGATTATATTTATTATAATGGCAACATCATTGAGTAACTATAGGTGAGGATGTCTTATCTGGCTTGGTATATGTTATAGCAATTTATGAACGTACCAGTTAAATTTGACATAATATTCTGAATGTATTTACTAGTGCAGTTATATATGTATTATTTATTAAACGATTCCTCAAATTTTATCCACTTGTAATCAAGATAGAAGTCTAAAACTTTGAGGGCTTAACTGTCAGATTATAATGCATTTTAATGGTGTTATAGGGAGTGGCCCACCTCTACCATCCCCTCATCTCCTCATACCGAAACACAATGAACGTAATCAAATGTAAAATTTAATCGTGGTTGTGTGTTTATGTATTGTATGTGTGTGTGTGAATGCTGTGTAGTGGTGTATATGGTTAGTTGGTCCCTCCTCCTCCACTCTCAATTTTATTAAAAATGAGTTAAAGTTTTAAAGATTTACAGTCGTAACCGTATAAATAAATTAATTTAGAAAATTTTGGAAGAAAAGAATCAGCCTATTGTGGGACTTGAACCTGCAATTGTTGCTTATAGTGCAAATATATTGCCAGTTACGCTATCCGAGCCTCCAGTCTGATCTCAGGACAGATGCTGAATGTAGTCCCCAGCCAGTGCCGTATGTAACCGATGATGGTTATCTCATGCTTAAATATATCTGGAAGAGGATATTGGACCAGAGGCTCGGATAGTGTAACTGGTAACACATCCACATGGTAAGCAGCAGTTGTGGGTTCAAGTCCCACTCTAGGCCAATTCTTCTTTTCCAGAATTTTCTAAATTATTTAATCTAATTAAAATTATTAAATCTAATAAGAGATGGTGCCTAATGCCTTTTCTAGTGACAAATTATTTAGTAATTAATTTAAAATAATCACAATATAATAGCCTAATATAATCTGATAGTTATTGGCATATTATGTATGCACATTGGGTTTGTAGATGTTGGTTTATGTATATACAGGCTCTACTTGTGTACAATTCATTATTTCATACACATTTTATACTTTTGATTTTTAACAATATATATGGCAAAATGCATGTACTTTCATGTAATGAATTTTCCCTTCTCACGAACTGTTAGTCATTAGTTCCTTGTTACCTTGCCAACATTAATCATGTCCATTTTTGTTGTCACAGGTTGAGTCTTGAGCAGGGATGTCTTTAGTTAGCACTTGTGTTGATAAGTTGTATCTTGTCAGTTTGTTAAGATGTATGTTATCACTTTATGTACATTTCTGTTTTGTTGAAAAATTTTGTTCTTATTAATTCATAAACATGAGTGAAAAATGAAAACAGCAGTGTTGATATGGCAAAAAGAAATCAAGGTCTCATAACCTCCATATGATTGAGAGTGTATATCTCGTACAAAGGACAATAGAAAAAGACAGCATGATACAGAACTCTTTATCAAGAAAAGAAAAAGAAGAATACAGTTCAATTATCTCTTGACAAATTTATAAAGAAAACACCTGATACTAATCAATAAAAAATATTTTTGAAAACCCTTTTTGATGTTTTTTAATATTGCTCTACTTTCATACATTTTAACTTTTATACACATTCAGGAACTGATTAGGTATGAAAGTAGAGGACTGCCTGTAACTGTTACTGTCTAAATAAATTTTAAAAATTATTATACTCATACTTCATTTATTTGAATGAGAATTTCAAAGGTAAATAAATTATCATTTTTATATGGTTTTATAAAGATAATTGTAGTAAAAATTATTGTCTGAGTTATTTGTATCCAGAGATGGTCTTTGTTAATTCAAATTATTAACTTATGATCTTTTACTTCAAATATTGTTGTATCAAAACAACAAACATACTTTGCTCTGTAAATTTCAGCCATTCCTGCAGGCAGGAGGGCATGGGACATGCTTAGCCCAGTGTAGAAAAGCTAGATTAATAACTACCAAGACTATACCAATGCAAGTTGACGGCGAACCATGCAGATTACTACCGTCAATAATTGAATTATCGCTTCGCAATCAGGCAAATGTTATTTCTAAAACAAAGGTAACATTTTCATTATCTTTCTAACTTCCCCTTTCTTTGAAATTTTTAACTTTTGAACATTTTTCTTAGCAGAGACATGACTATGCACCAAGAAAGTAAGTGAATTATTATCATTTGATATAAAAATTGGTTTGATTGAACTTATACTTTTTCTTGCGTTAAAAGAAAAAAAAATATATTATTTTACATTTGCGTGACACATTTTCTAATTCATTATTGTTACAACAGAGTTTTAGTCTTTACTTTTTATTTGTTATCATTTAAACAAAGTAATTTTGTTTTTTACATCAAAAAGTGTTTTGAATTGATTAAAAGCATTTTGCTCATTTTTTTAGTTTATCATTCATTGTTTTTAATGGAACATCAGTCTGAAGATGATACATTTTGGTCTCAAAAAGTATTTATTATTAACAATAGTGATTAGAAATAAATAATGTAATGTTACTTATTGTTTTCTCATTATTAATAATACCAAGCTGTTATATAACGAAAAAGTCTGCTTTATTGGAGCTCACTCTAATAAGTTTCTTAAACCAGGCACATCATCTGTACAACTGTTGCCATCTTTTTAATGAAATTTAATAATAAGCTATAAATAGACTATTTGTAAAACATGGCTTAGCTTTACTTGTAGTTATTATTATTATATATATATAATAATTAAAAAATTTTAAATAAAATATTAAATTTTCAAACATTGTATTGATAATTTGGTGTGAAAAATGCAAAGTTGAATTCAAAAGTGGACTATAACTTGGCTAATTAAATGTTATATAAATATACAAATATTACATAATTTGGACTAAAGTAGGCTGTTAAGTCAGCCTTGTATTAAATTTAATAAGTAGTATTGAAATGATTAATTGATTGAATTTAATGTTTTATTTTTTCAGAAATGTGTGGTTTTTGAGTTAATTAGAAGATAGCTTTAGAATTTAATTAAATTTACAAGATTATATTTTAAGTCTGTTTATTAAAATAGCTATCAAACATCTTTTTAAGTTTTCTATTGTCAGGAAAAGGATACATGTGTTTAATTTTTATGTAGTTTTATTTAAGAAATTTAAATGAGTTGTTTATTTTACTTAATATATTAAACACTTCTGTTTTTCCAGACAAACTCTTGAAAAATTAACTTTGGATGTAAGAAAGTTGACGATGAGTGATTATGAAACATATCATTACGACAAAGAAAAACTAAAAGAACACTGTGAGTGTGATTTATTTTGTATAACTTTAATTAATCCTTTCATTATATGATTGTATGCTATGTGGCAATAATCATCAATTGTTAACAACTACATTACAAATTATTTCCTTTCTTTTCTCTCTTAATTTCTGGCTTTAAATTTACATATTTTAAATGTTTATTCTATTGAATATTTATTGTATGAAATGTTTTTAGTAAATGTGTCTTAAATATAGTGGAAAATTATAATAAAGTATATACACCTTAACTGTATTCAATAACATATTAAATAATCTTGAAATGTTCAGAATATATACAGATAATATTAAAAACTGGAAGATAAGTTTTACTTTAAATGGTTTGACAGTTGAGCTATTGAGCTTTATATTGAACATTATCATATCTGTCTGTCCAATATCTAGTACAAAATGCCTTTATTCCTGTTGACTTGGTTTATTAGATGTGACATTGATGCTATGCTGTATCTAATATCTTAGATCAGTATAGTCTTATGGAATATTAATACTTTTTTTGTATAGTTTGATGGTTTCAATACTTTAAATGGTTACCTTTTAACAAGTCTTAAAATTTCTAAAATTTTCTTTATAAATCTTTTACATTTGTGGAATGGATGGATAAGAAACATGGAATTGATTCTATACATTGAAATTACTTTTACTGCAAAGACTAAAAGAAATTTTGAATTTTTATTATTTATTTTACATACTTAGAAAATAATTATTTTCAAACATTAAATTTTTAGTCTTAAAGAGCACAAAATAATATTTTGAATTGTATAGATAATCTCATAATTAAGTATATTAAGATACTTATAATTCAATAAAAGAAGTACACATATATCAGTTTGGTCTAATCAAATTAAATGTTTTATTTTAGCTTCAAACTTGGGTTCTTTGCATGTAAATCAGGACACTGATTTGCAAGAAATACGGAGCCATATTAATCAATTGATACAAGTTAGTCTTATTTTTATATTTGGGAGTTAAATTAGTTTGTGCACCAATTATAATTATAATTTTTTTTTTTTAATTTCACTTATAGAATTGCTTGGAGACAGAACATGAGTCTTCAGACGTAATGACAGATTGGTGCTTTCTCGATTGTGAGTAATTCTTATGATTGTCGTAATGGCCAAAAGTCCCTAATTGTTGTTTTTGTTTCTTGTTAGAATGTTAAATTCTAACAAAGCAATAAGACTTAAAAAGTTCTGCTCAGTTATCAATAGTAAAATCAAAATCTGACACTTACCAAATTCTTTTATTACAGGATGACATCTAAATATATACATTAATTACTTTGGTTTTATTGATTGAAAATGATCTTTCTTTTTACTCTTTTCTGATTAAGATATATAAATATCAAAATTTCTCTTTTGTTTGTTTAAATAATAGTTAGTTTTGTAATCAGTTTATTAATGCATGTATTTATTTATTGAATTAATTATTAACTCTGCAATATTTTCTATTGTAGCATGCACTGCGGAAAGGTTTTTCCGAATCGATTTTGCTCAAGAACATCTGCATTACGTGGTGGATATATGTGCCGATGAAGTATTCATACTCGATCAAGGACTGACAGAGGTGCCAGAAACAGAGTTTAATCCAACCGGCAACTGTGAAGAACTGAATGTTCTGGAAGGTGATAACAGTACTTTTGTTGTAGATAAAGAAGAAAAAGATTTGGAAGATATAACTGAAGAATCTTCTAGGTAAATATTTGTTACATCATTACTTGTTTTATTTATAATATTCTAATGTTTCTTTTGTAAATTTTTCAGTTCTGCAATGCCTTTAACTCAAGGTAATTGTTATTTTTCTACTATATATTCTTGTTTACAACTCTTCTAAAATGAGGTTTTCAGTAGTTTTAGTAAATCAATACATTATTAATTTCAGAAATGTTTGAAGCTGTGAAGAGTGGAAATTTAGCAAAAGTAAATATCATATTTACATTTTTTCCCTCTTAGAAATTTAATATTTGTCAAAATATTAGAGTATATAGGTGGGTGCTCAGAATTCTGAAATGAAATATCAAGAGAAGTCACTAAACATTAAATTCTACATCAAACTTTACTGAAACATTTAATCTGCTTAAAGAAAGCTATGATAATAGCTTTCTTTAAGCAGATTAAATGCAAGATAATAGCAAGTTTGCACACGACATATATTATGTTACAGAAAGGTCCATTATAACTTTATGCATAATGTACTAGTATAAACATAAGAAAAGTTGTGTGTTAGAACTTTATTTTATAAAATTGCAGAACCAATTATATTTGACCCTTTATTACCATTAATGCACTGTCATTATTACATATGTGCAAATAAGAATGTGCTGGGTGTTTGTCTGCCATTGGTTTTGCTTCATACCCGTGTTGTAATCTTGCTTCTAGTTATCATCTGTTAATTACAATCAGCATAAAAAAACTTGATTTAGATTTAACATTAGAATAATTCAAACTTCTACAAGAAGTAACTTATCCAATGTTGCATATGAAGACGGCAAGTAGCAAAGAGGTGCCATGGCAGAATATTTGTTGTTTTATGCTGAGATAGTTTGAGGTGTTTATGTAGATTTATTTTATTTATAAATAATAAAATTTAAATAGAATATAAATTTTATCTTTAAATTAATTATTAATTTATCTTTAAATAAACCCCATTAGGTTTAAGTTTTGTTATCTACAATTGATGAAAGAGCATACCGTAGATTAGATTAGAAGATTTTAAATGTTTATTATATTCTTATGACATAACAGACTTGGATGAATAAATGCCATCTAATGTTGTGTGTTTATAATTATAACATATGGTAAATATTTTGTAATGTACATCATGCACAAACTTGCTAATGATGCCTTGTTTATGGATATACAAATAAGCATATCTGTAAGTAGAGGATAATTCCCATCCAGTTAGACCAGCTTCAGCAAGAAATGAAAAAATAATGATTTCCCGAGTTTGTGAAGTGAGAACATAGATAATGATAATCTGGTTGGTATTTTGGGAATTTTGTATACCTCTGTACATGCCATTCTTTGTGATGACTTGAAAATGCATAGTATATGTATATTATATATATATAATATATATATATACATACATGAGTCTGAGCACTTCTCTCAGACAGAAAATAAATGTAAATAGTTCAGATAAAATGGAAAGTTCAGTGTCATCATTTATCCAATGGCAATCGGTCAGAGAGAGAGTTGTGATCAGACGAAGTTTCGATTGCTGATCAGATCTAATTTGAAGACAGTTGGCAGCCCCAGGGCAGACTGGCTGGAAGTTGTGTAGTGTGGCAGGAAGTAGGTGAAGCAATGAAGATGAGAAGGAAACAGACACACAGGATAAACAGGCTGAATAAGGAAGAGTGATGACTTTGTCCTTGAATCTCTGGGTTTTTAAAGGATTTCTCAAAGTTCTGAATTTGATTGGTCCCAAATTTCTTTCTCCACCTTTCAATTGATCTCTTTTCTGTTTCCAGATGAAATTAGACAACCATATCGGGTGCAGGAAAGTTCATCAGCAAGTGTCAGTCAAACTTTGAAACTTTCGCTTGTATCTTGTGATGATATTTTCTTTTCTAACATCTAAGAATTATTTTTGTTTTTATTACTTACAATGCAATAGTTTTTCTTTTAAACAAATGCTACATTTTCTTGTTTATTTCTAAATTTTGTCATCTGTACAAGTGTTGGGAGTCAAAGCTCCATCTTTTCAATTGAAATTCTAAACATTCCAATTTGTTAGTTTGTGATGACTCATGACTTCATGGGGTTGACTGTATTGTTTATTTCATACCTTTCACAACACACTATTTCATACATTTTTATAACAAAATATTTTATTAAATAAATCAAACTGGACTGTGTCTGAGACCTTACAATTCTGACCTAGGTGTTGAGATGAACAATGTGCATTTCAGGGTTTAAGCTGGGGAAATTTTTATGTAGCATTTTAGCTAATTTTACTTAAAAAGTTGTAGCAAAATTTTAGAAGCTGTATCTAACATTTCTCACCTATGAGGCTGCTCAGAAAAATACACAATACATTATTGTTTAAACATTTGCTTATTCACATAGATACTGTAAATTATTACAGTGTAATGCACTGTTAATGAAAGGTGAATCTATCATTACAACCCACAAGTATCATCCATTATTGAACAATTATTCTTGGTTTTGATTCACACCAGGCAACAAAGGCTGGATGAAAATTAAATTACTGTCTTGGAGGGTCATTTATGGTGATGTTCAACAAGTTGCTGACATTTTTTTATATCAAGACTTTTGAATTGGAGGAGTTGTTAATTTCATTTCACTGAAACCTTTCACTCTCTACAGTGTGCACTGCGAGTGACAATCTATCTTCTAAATTGGCAATTAAAATAGGTAGAAAAACATGCTTCACATTGTTCGAAGACATTGTTCCTTTAGATCAGCAGTTGGCTACTGGTGGTCCGTGGAGAAATTTTGACATTGATCAACTGAAGTATTACGAAAGAAATGCAAAATGCTTAGTTCCTTTTTGAGGGTTTTTTATTTGAATCTAAAACCAAATATGAAGTGACTGTTATCATTAAATATTGAATAGTAAACAATATTGTGAGTGCGATTGTCGTCCTTGGTGGAAAAGTGCTAAGAATCCATAAACTTATTTCAAACAAACAGCAACGAACTTTAGAGTTGCTTAATTTGTTATAATTAAACAAGTGAAATTTCATATTAATATACAGTGGTACCTCAGGATACAAAATTAATCCGTTCCGAAACTGAGATCATATCATGAAAATGTCGTAAGGTGGATCATCTTTTCCCATACGATTACATGTAAAACCAAATAATTCGTTCCAACGCGAAAAACATACTCAAATTAAAGCCAAGTAATACATTTAAAAAAATAACTGTAGTAAGAAAAACAAATGAAAAATGCGAACTAATGTAACGTCGTATGGTGAGTTTTTGTTCGTATCGTGGAGCAAAAATATGTTTGAATTTCATGTCGTATCCTGAAAATTTTGTATGCTGGGGCGTTCGTAACCTGAGGTACCACTGTAGTAAAATTGAACTTCTATGATCATTATTCTACAGATTTTGTATCGTTTTAAAAAAATTCATGTTAGTGGTCTGCGGAATTCAAAATTGTGAGTTTAGTAGTCCATGAGGTCAGAAAGGTTGCAGACCACTGCTTTAGATGGTCTTTTACCACATGACCATCAAACATGAATTCACAATCATTGGGCACTTTAGTTAAATGACATAGTATAACAAGTACCATATTATCATGGACTGTCCAGCATGTCAGTCTATCCGGGGAGACCACAAAATCAGATATTTCCATATGGTAAAAACTGGCATGCCGGTTTATGTGAGGATATACAACCCTCCGCTTGTGGGGGACATGCCCTTTGAAGCTTAATAACTCCTGTGCTTTTTGTTGAAAATTTCTGAAATTTTGCAGGGAGGTTCGTTTATTAGAGGGATTAATGCTATTAAATTTTGGTGATTAAAGATCAAGGGGATGGGGAGATTGTGGAGGTTGTAGGTATCTCCAGTAGGGTTGAACTTAATGACGATTTTACTTATTGACATTTACAATTTTTTTATAAAACCCATTTCTGACATGAAAATTAATCTTTTTGCTATTTTATAATAGTTAAAAAATATAAGTTTTTATAAAATATCATAATAGATGGTGCCACCAAATGTTGCAGGAAAGTTGCTTGTTGCTGGATTTTATTATTATAATTTGATCCAAAAATACAAAAATAAATATATCAAATTTCAGAAACTGGCTGTAAATTATCACAACTTACACTATCAATATCAGTTTTGTGTAAAATTTGAGAGGAAGGTATTAACTTTCAAGTTGGGGGGGAGTAACAATAAAAGTTTAATATTTTCATCTCATATTTGTCAGTGACTGACTATTGCTACTAACATCAATAATCTGCTAATTGGTTTATTACTTTTAAACAAACCACTTCCTGGTTGTGAGTTGGTTAAAACATATTAAAAACTAACATTTTGAAGATATTTTAACTATGTTAATATGAGGTCTGTTCAAAAAATACGCGGACTGTTTGAATTGCGCGGCTCCAGTTGGTTCCAGGGGAATCAGCTTGGTGTCATTAAGTTTGTACAGATCGTCTGGTGATAAAGCTGTTTCCTGATTACAGATAGCTTTACTTGTTGACTAGCAGACCCTGCCACGCAATGTTGTGGCTCAAAATGTATCTATTATAAATGTATAACACTTCCCCCATGGGGGAATTTTTCGAAAAATCTCTTCTTAGTGTACATTCTCTTGACATACCCTATTAAAACGCAAAAATACCGCATCTAAAATAGTATAAATAGAAGCAGCGTTCTTCACGGTAAGCCTGTCCATCTCCCCCCAGTGGGGGAAATTTCGACATGTATATTTATATAAAAACATGTGTGTATTTGAATGCAACGTTGTCAAAATTTCAAAGGAATCAGTAGGAACAAACGAACATTACATTTTTATTTATATAGATAGATAGAAGATAATCTGCTTTAGTTCATTCTCACAGAAAAGCAAACTTAGGTCGTCGTACTTGTGGAGTTAACGCCATCTGTTGGACATAAAAGCCTTAATACTAGGTGATATCTTTTAATTTATATGAATGTTTAATGGAATTATATACAGCCTATGTCCACCCTGAAGTTCCATTCTAAATATTGGTGAAAGAATTTTTGAAAGCGGATGAGTAGTTTCAGAGATTACATCCTACATCCAAACTTACCTCTTTATAATATTAGTATAGATCAGCATTTCTCAACCTTTTTTGGCTTATGGACCAGTGGTGTTTTTTCAAAAAACTTTACTATATATTAAAGAATTACTACAGAAGTAAATTGTAAAATTATTATCATCATTTACTTATTATTATCATTTATACATCATAAAATTTTTATTTATTAAATTATCATTATTTGTTTGAAAAAGAAAATTTTTAACGCAGAGTGATAAAAATTCTCTGCAGACTGGCAATTTAGAAACACTGGTATTGATTAGCTACACGGTTTTTAGTGAAGTGCAATTTTTTCGTTTGTCGGATTTCAGAATGAATGACCTGATGGAGCAACAAGTAGCTGTGAAATTTTGTGTTAAACTTGGAAAATCTGCGACTGAAACATTTGCTATGCTCAACCAGTAGGTGGGTGAAACGTCCCCAGACCCAAGAAAGCTCACCAAGTTCAATCCAATGTCAAGGTGATGCTGATAGTTTTCTTTGGTGCTAAGGGTGTTGTTCACCACGAGTACAACCCCCAAGGCTCTATAGTGAACCAGACTTACTACGTTGAAGTTCTGAAACATCTGAGGGATGCCATCTGTCGCAAAAGGAGAAATGTGGAAGAGTGGCGTCTGGTTTCTTCATCATGACAATGCTCCAGCCCATTCAGCCTTCAGAACTCTTGAGTTTTTGGCCAAACACTTGATCACTGTTCTTCCCCACCCCCTACTCACCTGACTTTTCTCCTTGTGACTTTTTCTTGTTCCCCAAATTCAAAAGATCCTTGAAAGGAAGAAGATTTGAGACAATTCTCGAGATTAAGGCAAATGCGACGAAGGCACTGAAAGACATTACAAAAGAAGCATACCAGGACTGTTTCAACAAGCGGAAACACCATTGAAATAAGTGTGTGCATTGGGAAGGAGAGTACTTTGAAGGGGACCCAGACATGTAACTTTCACATAAAGTACATTTTGTTTTATGACGTCGTCTGCGTATTTTTTGAACAGACCTCGTATAACCACAGAAAATGTTAATTTTTAGCAAAAGGTGTTGCTAAATCTAAATTCTTGTAGCATTTTAGCAAAGAAAACTAGGGACAGCTTAAACCTTGGCATTTGTTATTGGGAAAGTCATTGTTGTATAGATTTTATTTCAAGTGATTACAGGCAATGGAACTTGGTGTTTCTTATACAATACAAAAAGTAAACATGCATCATTGTTATGCAAATCAGCTTATTCACAATAGGTCCAAGAGGATGCTAATGTTTGTGTCTTTGTTTGATGGTATGTGTTACGAGTTTGTCTCCAACAAAAGATCCATTAACAAGGAATCTTAAGGTAACATTCTCAGTGACGTCTGCAATGCAATAAAACGAAAGCTGCCTTTTCTCTGGCAAGCAAAAATCCAGGTTTTCCATCAACATTCTGGTGCATTGTGATCTTCTAATTAAACAATAATTTACTTTCCTTTCATGAAAAAAATGCATTTTTGAATTTGTAATTTCATAATAATAATTGCTGTAGATAAAATTAATGATTGCTATATTTCATTTTGATTCATTTATAATATAATAGATTAATCTTAACTTTCAAATTTAATAACTTTGATTGCTAATTATTTTCAGTTGAAGGATTTACATAAATGTGGTTGCTCGTTGTTACATCAGGACCAAGACGGCATGACGGTGCTTCATTATGCTGCCGAGCTTGGGTGTAGGGAAATTGTCAGCTACCTTCTTACCTGTGGTGAGAATTTGAAAATCAATTTTTGCATAATTCTTGACATCAATTAAGCAGTTTAAAATTTTTCAGTTCCACATTCTACACTAGACGTAGCCGATAAACTAACGTAAGTTTGTCAATTTTTTAAAAAACTACCTTACCTAATTAAAAAGAAAGTAATTAATGATTTTAAAATTTAGTGGCCAGACACCTCTTCACAAAGCCGTGTTAAATAAGCATCACACGATCAGTTGTATGCTGGTGTCTGCTGGTGCCTCTTTAACGTCTCTCGATAACGAGGTGGGTGGATTTTAATTTGATAATTTGAGTTGTTTCTTCAAAAAAAATTAACTTAGACTTTTATAATTGAAGAATTTGACTCCAAGAGATTTAGCCAAGCAAATAGAAGATAACGATCTTGCTGACTATCTTGAAAGTAAGTGTTTTTTAAAGTTTTGGAAATATTGTTAAATAATTTATTATTTTTAATTTAAACACTTGTTTTATATTGGCTGAGATTTTGGTCAAGATTAACAAATGACTGATAGCTAGATGGGCGACAGTGGGAATGTACAGGTCTGCAATTTGATAATTGCAGCCCAATAAATGCTTGCCATTATATTTATTGGCCTACTGATGAATAAATTAGGCTTTGTTTATTGTTTCTGAGAAAAGTTTTAATTCTACAAAATGACATTAAGTTTTAATTAATGGTGTATATTGAGAAAATTTATTTAAATATTTGCTGATTTCGATGTTTGTACAGAAAAAGTTTTCATTTATTATTATTATACAGTATTTAGTGGTTTATACTCGGTTGATATTGGTGGCTGAGTACCAACCAAAAACTAAAATTAAATAAGTGTGTCAGTGTCCGTATTCAGGAATTTCCTAACAGTATGGCATGTATTCAATATAGTGGTCTTCTGCAGTATGATGTGTGTATTTCTATTCAATTGTAATGTTCCCAGGCTTTTGTATAGTGTGTGTGGTATCACACCTGTACTGGAGAGAATGACAGGTACAATAAGCACCCTTTCCATCCTCCACATATGCCTTATTTCCTGGGCAAGTTCTGTGTACTTGCTGATTTTTTCAGTGAATGTGTTTTGTATATTGTGATTATTTGGAATGGATATGTCTATAATGTGTGTGATTTTATTGTGGTTGTCAATGAATGTGATGTCTGGTCTGTTGTAAATTGTTTTATCTGTGATTATGGCTCTGTCTTAGTACATTTTGTGTGTGTTGTTTTCCATTACTGTCTGTGGGATGTCTGATAATTTGTGTTTGTTTGCAAGCTCTTGGTGTATTATATTTGCTATTTGATTATGTCTGTGTAAATAATCTGTCTGTGCCAAGAGCTTGCCCCCAGAAGTAATGTGTTGTATAGTTTCTGGCATGATGTGATTTTCTGCCATGTATCATTTGTGAGTGTTGTATCTTTGAGTATGTGTTTTCTTTAGTTTTTAGTATTTATGACCTGATCCTGTATGGCAATCATGAATTCCATCTCCCCAAAGAGGTATCCCCAATCTAACCAGCTGTTTGATGCAATTTTGTCAACAAAATCCTGGGCCAGGTCATAAGGATGCCTGCCATGGAGTGCCTTTTGAGCCCGTGATTGCTTGATGGTGTCTATGCTTTTTATATGTTGTGTCATGTCTGTATGATGTGAGTGTAAGTTTAATGGTGTGTTATTTGAGTCTGCTAGAGTTACTGCTTTATGTAATTGTGATGTTTCTTGTTTTTTGTTGTTATTATTATTATTATTAATTTTCATTTGAAGTTTGAATTAACATCTCAAACTTTTGCAGGTCAAGAAAGATTCTGTACATTTGGGAGAGAGAAGGAAACTGCTGTTTAGGAGTCAAACTTGTGTTTGTCCCCGAGCCAAGTAAAAATTGTTCACTTAAAAGTGGAGTTTGCAGTGCAAATCATCCACAAAAAATGTTAACCAACATTTTTTATGAACAACAAATATTTTTGGCCACATTCCACTTAAATCAAAAGATATTCCTTTGTATATGCCTGTAAATACTTGAAATACCGGTAGTTTTCTAGTTACTGAATAACAAAATGTATGAAAAAAGTTAAAACCCACACAAACACTAAGAAAGTAAACATGTATTGGGTCGACATTGTCGCGCCGAGGCTGCGATCGTGTCCATTAAGTAGTTTCTTTGAAACAAAATAGTATTAGTCGAGGATTTTTCAGTTAAATCAACTTAACGTATCTGTCGACATTCCCGACTGACTTTTGTTTTAAGCCAGGTAGAGGAGCAGACTCGTTCTTTTCCGTAAAGATCCAAAGCATTATACAGGCTGTTAGGCCGAAACGTGATAAAAGGTACTGTGATCGAAAGTCTGGGAAGGACAAAACAAATTTTTTAATAATATATTATCAAAAGAAGTCTTTCTTTAGAGACAATGTATCTTATGCACCGTAGATAGGTACCATTTATTATCGTTATTAAAAATTACTGCACCAAATTAGTGTAGCGACTAAAAAGAAAAACACATCACTTGAGGAAGAGTTCACATCACCTTATTTAATTAATAATAATATAATTCATCTTCACAAAATTAATTAGATTTCACCACTAGAAATGTTAGGAATCATCAGTTTTATGCATCTTTGCCCATGCACCATTCACACATACATACATACACACACAAACACAAACAAACACACTATTCATACTTCCAACTTTTGCAATAAAAAAAAACAAACTTTGAAAAGAATACAGTTATGTCCCAGATGCCGCAACATAGTCAATTTTACGATAAAAGTCGAACTTTTAAAACTTTTTTTAAAGCCACGTTCCAATAGCCAGACATTGCCGTTCCTGCGCGATGCATTAGATTTTTTATCGTCTCCATCCCTTTAACTGCTTGATTTCCAACCCCGCAATTATCGTTTCGTCACCTGTACAAAATGGTAAGATAGTGTATAAACAAAAAGTATTTTTATACCTGCAAAGAAAAGTCATATTTAACAACCGATCGGAAACTGTTCCTCCTGTTAGAATAAAGGAAACATGATTAAATTTTTGCTTGTCAAATTGCAGACCTTTTCTATAAATGCAGTTTAACGTTTAAGCGAGGACCGTGCGGACGGATCTCCACAGCATTAGATTTTGTGAGTCCGATTTGAGTCCTGACTGAAAGTGTGCATTCAGTTGCAGAGTAGGTGCGGGACGAATCTGGCCTTGGCCTAGTACTCACTGCCACATGCCGCTCTTTTCGACGGGTGCTTCGCCATCAGTCTCTCCGGAGCTGGCGCGCGGCCCTTTGATCCTTCGCCGGATCCACGCAGAGACGACCATTTTCTAGGGCACTTCTTTTGTACGCGAACAGCATTCAAACCTTCATTTTTAATTTCAATCCAAAGGAAAAGCTCTAATTTTTTAGGATGATGAGAGGTCAATATATTTCATCTATTCAAATTACATGTGATATACGTCACTCCTACTATGCACTAGCCTACAACTATGCAGTCGAAGTACACGAGTACACTTTCCGTATTTCCCTTTCCGTTCACGACGGATCTCCGGCACGGTTCGACACTTCGTTCTCACTCGTTATTCCCGCAAGAGAGTCAAAGCCAGACTCATCTTATTTTAAACACTAATTTTTTTGTTCTTTTGCTTAAATACTTAAAGCAAAAAATAATTATACTGTAAGGTTGAATGGAACATTTAATCGATTTTAATAAATGCTAAAAGTTAAGAGTTGTGCTCCACTTATTTCTGTCATTTTCTATTATTATTAATTTGTTGCTTTATCCTTTGCATCTAAGTTACAGATCCTCTTGGAACATACCCGTGCATGAAAGATGATGCAGAGCCGCCGTGTCGTCCATGCGCAATCTTATCAAATGCATTAAACACATACCAATGTGTTTTGGAACAGATGTGATTATCAAGAAGCGAGAACTAGGTCTAAGCAAATTTTCTTTCAACTAATATCCTCCTTTTGAGGTTGTATTTCGGTCTAGTTCCGGATGTCAAATGAAGATTTCACAGAACCATCATTATTGTACTATGTACCTATTTCCCAGGGGTGGGCACCATGCAAGAGGGATCACATACATACTCCTTCATTTATTAGATTTTGCCAGATGCTCCCCCATCTTGTCTGATTGTGCTTCCATTGCCATCATCTCTCTCTTAGCATGCTCTCTTGACCTAGTGCTTATACTTTGATTCTTCTGATATTCTGCCAAGATTTCTTTGGTTGCCTGGTTTTGCTTCTCCCACTTTTTCAGAGTAATTTACACACTCTTCAGTAATTCTTCTGTTTCCTCAACATGGCCAAAATGCCATACTGGACTTCCTCACCTTTTGTATGATGTCTCGTTTGCACCACTTTCTTGACATCCTCATTCTTCATGTGGTTCCTCTGTCATTATGTGCACATATGCTTCAAATATCTAATGTCACAAGTGGTAGTGAGACTCCGATGCCTCTTCTACCCTACCCACGTCTCTCTACTATATATTGATACAGGAACCACTTCCATATTCCTCTGTATCGGCTCTTGGTCACGTAAACAGAAGGCAGTGTGAAGAATCCGGATTTGAGCCTTGTAAAATTAAGGATTCTGTGAATGTAAAACACGCCCAAACTTTGGCATTTTGAGAGCCAAAGTTTGGGCGTGGAACGAATCGGATTAATTCACAGTGGGGTGCTTAATGCTTGGAAGAAGCCATCCAATTTGTTCTGGTGTGGAAGGAAACGTGTCATGCTTTGTTCAACAAAAACATCAAAGATTTTATTGGTTTTCATGAATTTTCTAGAGTGTATGGATCATCTAGAACAGTGTTTCTTAACAGGGGACCACGGCTCCTGAGGGTCCATAAAAGAAGTTTTTCAGGGGTCGCCAAATTATGCAAAATTTCCTTCAGTGTAATAATAAAAAGAAAATTGATTGTATAATCGAATATCGTATTGAAAAGTGAAATAAGAAATAAAGTTTTCGTATTTAGTTTTTTTTTTATTTAACAAATTAGTTGAGGATATTCAGCAGCAGAAATCTCATTAAATTATTTTCAAATATTTTTTGTTTTTTTCTATGAATTTTTAAATGTTTCTTATTTTATTTTTTGTTAAAAATTAATGAGTTTTTATGTTTAATTGTGAAGTTTGAATGTTATTTAAATAGATAATGAAATAATAAAGTTATGTTTTACATTTATTATATAAAAAAATAAAGCAATAATTAAAAAAATCAGTTTATTATAGATAATTTAACAAATTAAAAAATGGGGGTCAAAAAAATTATGAAATATTTGGTGGACCGCGATTATAAAAAGGTTAAGAACCACTGATCTAGAAAATATTCGCCGCCATTGAATAATCTCAATCTTAGCTTCGAACTGGATGCCATTTTGATCAAAAAAGTATGCATTTGTAAATTTTACGAAATCGTTTAAATTTTGTAAGTTAAAAAAATTATGTAAAATAACAAATGTTTTTTTTTTCACGACTTTAAAGCAGCTTACTTAAGATGGCGACATATGTATAAAAAATATTTTTCGTTATTCATAGACATCCCACTGGAATCTGGCGCCATACAACGGGAATATTATTAACTAGCAGGAAGTTGAAAAATGTCTCGTTCGTATTTCATAAATTTAACGTCATTCTTTGGGATTTCTCATTGTAAAACGTTAAATTGGCGTAAAAGTAAGCACTCGAACAAGCAACAGGATCTTAATGTATTTTTTAACTCGATATTTCTCCGGGCGCCACTTAGTGATGAGAAAATGAATTAGGCTTCCAACGAGAGGATCCGGTTTTATTTCCGTTCGCGTTTAATTACTAAGCAGAATTGTTTTGTGAAAAATTAACATTCGATTATCTTAGAAAATAAAAATGCCAAATGGCAATATAATTACCTGTTCGTTATACTGTGTAAACACAATTCACATTAAAGAAATACAATACATATTCCATTATTGTACTCAAAGCATTTTTAATTATTGAATTTTGTAAATTTATCTCATTAAAATTTTTCTGTACGATGAAATAATTTTATTGAGAGTTTTAATTTATTTAAACCCATAAAGTGCGTGGCCGATCCACAGATAAGCTGCAAGTTGCTTGCTTCACGCCCTCTGGCGGGGAAGTTGGGCGTTAGCTATTTCGCCCCATGTAGTTGTTTTTCCGGGTCTGTGAGTGGAGTTGGTTGGAGAAACAGATGGCGATCTCAAATTGAAGTACTTGAAAGATCTAGAAGAAACGTTTGACAAAAACAGTACAAATGTCGAGGGATTGTAGGAGAATGCACAAGGGGGTGTGGAGTCTCGTCGTGGTATAGGACTCTGTGAATGAGCAACGTCGAAAATTAGTGGATGAATTTACTGTTTGTCGACCGTTTGTAGACAATATGAGAGAGAATATTCTTTGGACAGTATATGCACTGGTCAGTGGTGCAGATATTGCGAGTATAAAGAAAGTGGTTCGTAAGCAAAGGAGTTGGTTCTTGCGTGGTTGATGAGGACGTTGATGCGGCGGTCAGTGATGTCAGGAATAGGAAATATCTGATGTGTTAGAAAACCAAAGGGTAGACATTGTTTTTGGGGTAGTTATTCCAGCTGTTCATATGTTTCTCGTTGTCAGACTTGATGAGAGTGTTGGTCTTCGGGGTTGTGTAGTGAGTGATGTTTGAGTTGAGGGGATTGGCTTTGGCGAGTTTGTCAGCTTCTTCGTTGATGGGTATGCCTTTGTGAGCCGGGGTCCAGATATGCTTGGTCTGAAGGTTGAGGATAGTGTTAATGATTTGGATTAAGGTAGGAGTCTTATCGTGTTGAGCATGGAGAGCCTTGAGAACTGATTTCGAGTCTGTGCAAATGATGGCATCTGACTTTTGTGGTGACATGACGGATTGCTTGAAAGATTGCATATCCTTCCGCAGTGAAAATCGTGGCCTCAGGGTGGAGAAAGAAGTGGGCGTGATGATGATTTTTGAGTCTACAAAAGTCACGGTGTTAGTGGTTTTCGACCCGTCAGTGGCAACAATAGTGTTGATATTTTGATGGGCTTCCCATTCCTTAAAGGTCTGTTGGATGTATGTGTCAGGACGATTGGAATTTTGGAAGGCAAGGTCGTCGAGATGGATGTTGTGGTTGGGGGCGTTGGTGATGCTGAATGACTTTGACGGAAGATTGGATGGTTGAACGTTGTGCAGGAGAAGAAGCTAGGAGCGGGTGAAGTGAATGAGGCGCCTGTATTGTTGTGTATGTTATGAATAATGGAATGGAACAGGTAGTGGTAGCTTTCTTGATGTAAGTGCAGTATTGTTTAATGATACATTTGTGGAAGCGGTATTCGAGGGAGGTTTTAATTGCGGCGCGGAGTGTAACGATGTTGGTAGAGATGGGGAGGACAAAGCTGAGTTTCATGTATTGGGTTTGAATAGCCTGTAAGATAGCTGTCTTGGTAAGGGTTGCTATACTAGGGATGGTGTATGTAACGATACTACCTCGGTTTATTAAATGTTGTTATTAGCAATGCAAAAGAGGTCAGTAGGGTGGTCACCTGTGTTTTTGTTGCAGAAAATTTTGAAAATGTTTTTCTGCACTTGTGGATGTATTCGTGTGGATGAACGTGGGTACTCCAATAGAGGTTAGCCGTGATAAAAATGCTGAGTGTTTTCAGTTTGTTAACTTTGGGGATGTTCTGCCCCTGGAGAGTAATGTCCTGATTATTATGGATATTGATTGGGATGCGGAGAATAGCACATTTTTGTGGTTGGCAGTTGACATCGTTGATGCTGGTCCAATTCTCAAGGGAGTGGATGAAATGGGCGATACTGTGGCGTAAATTGAAAGGGTTAAAAATATCACTCATGAAGAAGGCAAAAAGAAACTCTGAGACCACACTGCCTTGAGAAATACCTTTACATTGGGTGAGTTCTTTAGCGGTATCACCTCTCCATATAACTATAACCTGTCTGTTATATAAGAAATTTTTTAACCATATTAGATAATTGCTTTTGAGGCCTTTGGTGATGGCTTTGCGAAGGATATGATAGTGTTTGACAGAGTCGAATGCTTTGTGTATGTCGGAGGTGAGGATGTTGAGGAATTGACCTATGCTACGCAGAATGTATCTGGATCATCATGTGGGAAAGGAGGTCTCTTATCCCCTTGCTTGGAAGGCCCCCAAAGTTGAACCATTGTTGTTGATGGGCAAGGTTGCGCCAACGCTTTATGGTAATGCGTTCGAAGGTTTTACAAATTGTTGATGTCAAGGCAATTGGACGGTAATTGGCGACGTTCGTCGTTTCTTTACCTGGTTTGCGTATGGGAATAATGATTGTTTTGTTCATTTCATTGGGGATGGTGCCTGTTATCCAGATGTTATTGTATATGTTTAGTAAATGGCGTTTGACCTCGTTGAAAGCTTTGAGAATCTTCATGGTGATGTCATCTAAACCAGGGGAAGCGTTCCTCCCTTTTTTAATGCTCAGTTGAGTTCATGTTTAGTGAATGGGTTGTTGAAAGCATCTGTAGGGAGGTCTGGGTTGATGGGGAGCGAATGTGTATGGGTTGTATCTGTATTTGTGGATTAAAATATTGGTTGAAGATGTCGGTTGATGATTAGGGTCAATGATAGTCTACCCATCTTGTTTGATGATGAGATGATCGTTATGGGGATTAGTTTTTGTGCTTAGGAGGTGTATGATTTTCCATAAATTGTTATTGTAGCTAGGGGAAGTAGAAAGATTCTTCCAAAAAGTGCGTTTTGAGCAAGTACTGTGTGTTGAAGATCTGCTGTCGCTTCATTGATGAATCCAGTTTTCTCGGTTAGTATGTCTGTGGAAGTGGTGGTATGCTTGCCTTTTTTTTTTTTTTTTTAATTTTCGTTGGCATTCTTTATTCCACCATGGAGGGTTGGGACTTTGTTGACGTGGATTGCGATTATAAGGGCATATGTGAGTTCTTTATATTTGTTGATTAAATCGTTGTAGGTCCAGTCTGTGTGGGTTGTCCAGGAGATGAAAATTTGTGTTATGTTAGTGTAGGTACTAGTATATGTGATTATTCGCTTTCTGTTTGCCTATCCTAATGTTGATAATGTCTGTTTCAATCATGCGATGATGTCTGCCACAGAAAATGGACAGAGGGTATGCGTTGCAATGTCCTTCGTTACACGAATGAGGTCTGTGGCCGTGTTACTATCTTTTGGATTGTAGTATGTGAATTGGCCATCGTTGAGGAGAATAATGTCAATTGTCGTAAGTTGGTATGCGATAATGCAACCTCTGACATCTGTCGAGGAGTTTCTCCACGTGGTGCTGTGGGCGTTAAAGTCACCGCCAATAATGGTGGTGGAATGGTCATTCCTGCTAATACGTTCCATGAGGTGGTTGCTAGCTTGTGGAGGGAAGTATACATTTACGATTATGATGCGTTTTGTCACGTGGATGTCGTGATAATCCATTCAGGCTAGCCCACCTCGTTGGCCGTCTTGGTTTCAATGAGGGATGTTGGGATGTATGTAATAAAGCCTCCTCCAGGGCAGCCTGTTCTGTAGTTGTTGTAAGCTATAAACTGTGGCATGTTACACGTTTTAGGGTGGGTAAGCCAGCTTTCTTGTACCAGTATGATGTCATATTGTTGTCATATCTTTTCTGCCTTAATTTGTCAGATTTGACCGGTTAAAATAAAACATGTCTAATTTTCTAGTAAAAAACATTTAACCAAGCTCGTAATTCATTATAAATTTTTAAAACCAGTTTACAATTTGTCAGGTTCTAAATTAGATTTCATACATTACTGCTCCTCAGAAAACAAACATGGCGGCTTGCTCGTCGGTAGCGTGTTACGTAAGTCTGAAACTAATTGCACCTTACTTCGAGAGTGCAGACATGTTTTTAGAATAAGCGCGCAGTCTATTAAAATG